CAACTTGGATTATGGCTCCAATGGTGGAGGCAGAGCATAGCTACCATGGCTTAGTAGCCATTGATAGTCTTGGATCATTGAGTTGGGGGGACCCCAGGGGTCATCTAGTCCAACCCCCTACAATGCAGGAATAAAAGCTAAAGTATCCCTGGCAGATGGTCATCTGACCTCTGTTTAAAAACCTCCAAAGGAGGAGAGTCCACTACCTTCTGAAGGAGGCCATTCCACTGTCAAACAGCTCTTACTATTTACAGGACCGCCTCTCCTGGTCTGCCCCACAGAGGACCTTAAGGTCCATGAATAATCCTAGTTTAGAGGTCCCAGGCCCTAAGGAAGTCAGATTATCCTCCACCAGGGCCTTCTCAGTGATGGCTCTGACCTGGTGGAATGCTCTGTCCCATGAGACCAGGGCCCTGCAGGATTTAACCTCCTTCCGCGGGGCCTGTAAGACAGAGCTATTCCACCTGGCTTTCAGTTTGAATTTAGCCTGATCTTTTATTTCCCTTCCTTCCCTCCCACTCCCCTTTTTATGAAGATTACCTGCTCTGGGATCCCACTGCTAATTCTCCCCTGGTCTCCTTGCTTGCCCAAGTAGGACTAATTTAGCCAGCTAGCCCTGGGGATCATCTAATGTTTATTGGATGGATTTCCCCCCAAATTGATTTTTGAATTCTGAATTTATTGTTATTCACGCCAGGCACTCCTGTCTTCCACTGCCTCCCACAGTTTGGTCAAACTCATGTTTGTAGCTTCGAGAACACTGTCCAACCATCTCGTCCTCTGTTGTCCCCTTCTCCTTGTGCCCTCCATCTTTCCCAACATCAGGGTCTTTTCCAGGGAGTCTTCTCTTCTCATGAGGTGGCCAAAGTCTTGGAGCCTCAGCTTCAGGATTTGTCCTTCCAGTGAGCACTCAGGGCTGATTTCCTTCAGAATGGAGAGGTTTGATCTTCTTGCAGTCCATGGGACTCAAGAGTCTCCTCCAGCACCAGAATTCCAAAGCATCCATTCTTTGGTGATCAGCCTTCTTTATGGTCCAGCTCTCACTTCCATACATCACTACTGGGAAAACCATAACTATACGGACCTTTGTCGGCAAGGTGATGTCTCTGCTTTTTAAGATGCTGTCCAGGTTTGTCATCGCTTTCCCCCCAACTCCCTCAACTGTTCCTCATAAGGCGTAGTTCAAGACCCCACTGCAATACGATTCCTCCCACTCCAGACTTCAGAATCAGCCCCAGAAATTTACCAAAGAGTCTGGCGGTTCCTGGGCGTGGGGTCTCTGCATGAGTCTGTGTTTCTGCTTTAATGTCCGCAGGGTGAACTGCAGGGGCGACAGGAAGGCAAACAGCATCTGCTGAGATGAAGAAGAATTCTTGACTCAGCTTTTCTCAGAAGCGGCTGCTGATTCTTCAAGTCACATCACCCTCCAGTTTACTCCTTGGTTGTCTAAGCAAACTGTGGTGTTTTTTAAAAAAATACTTTTTATTAGGAATTTCAACAATTAACAATTTATCAAAAATATATCATCCTCATTTTTTTCCTCTCCCCATTTTTCTAATCCCCCTCTGCTAAAAAGACAAAACCCAGACTTCCCTCAGCTCCTCTCTCTGGTTTCTCAGCACATATTCTCTGCATGTTATAAAGTTGTAAAGATCCTCAATTGTCTAAGCAAACTGTTAAGTCAAACATGTTGACCTAGAAATAGCTTGAGACAGTCAAGAAGAAATGAAATAAAGGCAACAGAGACTTTTAAAAAAAAGACTGGGAACTATTTAGTACGTTATACTTACAGAAACATTGGAAAGAAGTGGACTCACTAGCAGGGTTTGAGTAAACACAATTAACAAGACAAGCATAGAGATTAAGGTGTAAAAATGGGAAAATAACGAACAGAACAATATTCAATTTAAAGAATTCAATATTAAGGTATAAGAAAAGAAGCAGGAAGTGTTAATATGTAAAGAATCAGAAGAAGAAGTTGAGGGAAGTCGTGGGGGGGGGAGATATGGGAATTGCATTTTTCTTTTTCTCTGAGATAATGTCCTTGTGATGAATATAAAATGTAAAATTTAATAAAAACTATTATTATTATTTTTAAAAAAGGAGACAGTCAAGAAGGCTGCAGCTGCTGCTTCTGCACACATGCGTCGAGGCAAGCAGGGGGAAGGTCGTTGGAGAGATCCAAGCCATGGAATTAAGCAGGGCAGAGAAAAGGTCCTCCTCCATCCACTGCGTAGTTAAACTATGGAACTCCCTTCCACTTGAGGTAGCGATGGCTTTATAAATCCACGCAGTAGGAGAGGGCTTTCAACAGCTCTTCGCCATGATGGCTCTGCTGCCACAGTCAGAGCTAGCAATGCTTCTGGATCCTGGTTGCTGGAAATTGCAGTAGGGGAGAGGTCTCTTGTGGTCGAATCCTGCCTGCAGGTCTTGCTTTGGGTGCTTGGCTAGATGAGACATTGGTCTCATCCAGCAGCCGGCTCTTGTGTCCTTATGTCCTTGTGATTGTTCAGTCATAGAATCGTAGAATTTTAGAGCTGGAAGGGTTCCCGAGGGTCATCTATTCCAACCCCTGCAATGCATCCATGACAAATGACCATCCAACCTCTGCTTAAAAACCTCCAAGGAAGGAGAGTCCTCACCCTCCCAAGGGAGATGGTTCCACTGTCAAACAGCCCTTAGTATCAAAAAGTTCTTCCTGGTGTTGAGTCAGAATCTCCTTTCTTGTAACATGAAGCCATGGGTTCGAGTCCTACCCTCCAGATCAGGAGAGAACAAGCATGGGACAGCCCTTGAGATATCTGAAGATGGCTCTCATATCTCCTCTCAGTCTCCTCTTTTCCAGGCTAAACATAACCAGCTCCCTCAACCGTTCCTCACAAGGCTTACGGTAGTTTCCAGACCTTGGATCATCTTGGTTGCCCTCTGCACACCTTCCAGTTTGTCAACCTCCTTCTTAAATTGCGGTGCCCAGAACTGGACACAGTAGTCCAGGTGTGGTCAGATGTTATGTACTGAGTTGAATAGGATCCAAACTGCAGCAGTCTGATTGGTCCTAGAACAATAGGATCCAAAAGGCAGCAGTCTGATTGGTCCTAGAACAATAGGATTCAGAATGCAGCAGTCTGATTGGTCCTAGAACAATGCAGCAGTATGATTGGTTGGCAGGAACTACCCAATCATGCTCCAGATAGAAGTGAATCCACAACCTGATTGGCTTACAGTAGAATTCCGGAATTAGCCAATCATGTGCAGCCCATTGTGTAAATAATGTATATAAAGCAGATACTTTGAGGGGACATTCATTCATTCCTCCTCACCACTATGAGCTGAATAAAGAGCATGAAATCACTTTGTGACTCTGAGTATATTTCATCAGACCAAAGCAGAACAGAGTGGCACTATGACTTCCCTTGATCTGGACACTCGACTTCTGTTGATGCAGCCTAGAGTAGCATTAGTTTTTTCTGCTGCCCTGTGGAACGCCCTCCCATGTCAAAGAAACAAACAACGACCTGACATTTAGAATACATCTGAAGGCAGCCCTGTTATAGGGAAGTTTTTAATGACTGATGTTTTAATGTATTTTTAATCTTTTGTTGGTAGCTGCCCAGAGTGGCTGGGGAAGCCCAGCCAGATGGGCAGGGTATAAAAAAATAAATTATTATTATCATAATCATCATCACCATCACAATCTTGACTCATGTTCAGCTTGTCATTTATTAAGACCCCCAGATCGTTTCCAAATGTACTACTTGCAAGCCTGACTGCCAATAGCCCTTTCCCCTCCATGAGTTTGCCTAATCTTCCTTTAAAGCCACCCAGGTTGGCCATCTCTGCCTCTTGCAGCAGTGAGTTCCACAGTTTCATTCTGCCCTGTGCGAAGAACAACTTTCATTTCTCTGTTCTGAAACTTCCAAGATTCAGCTTCATGGATGTCTATGAGTTCTACAGTTAGGAGAGAAGGAAAATTCTTCGTCTGCTTTCTCAATTCCAGGTATAATTTCATAAGCTTCAGTCATGTTGCCTCTTACTCGCAGTTCCTCAAGAGGATTGAGACCTAACTCTTCTACTGCATGCACTACTCTAAAAGAGAATGTAAGGAAAATGATATATCGCTGGTATTTAACACCTGTCAAACTAGCAAAAATGTATAGGATGGGTAGTAAAATATGTTGGAAATGCAAAGAAAAGGACGGTGATTTTTACCACGTGTGGTGGACATGTGATAAAATGAATTTTTGGGGGGAACTGATCTATAATGAATTTAAAAAGATGCTTAAATATACTTTCTCAAAAAGCCTGAAGCTTTTTTCCTAGGTTTATTAGGGGGGAGGATATTAAGAAGGTGGACCAAAGATTATTCATGTATGCTACAACTGCTGCCAGAATCCTGATAGCCCAAAAATGGAAAATACAGGAATTACCAACTGTGAAGGAGTGGCAGACGAAGATGGTCGAATATGTGGAATTAGCAAAACTGACCCACGGGATCTGTAATCAGGAGTATCAAAAAGAATGGATTAAATTCATGGACTACATAAGTGAGAACTGTAGAAATTTGAAAACGTTAGTAGGACTGAAGTAAATCTTATGACATGGTCTAGATATTACTAAGGATTAGAGATTGGAATAAGAAAACCTGCGGAAGGAAAGGAAGTCAGTTGCTCTACGGAGCGTAAAGAAAAACAGATGTAAAAAGATATGAAATATTTGTGTTTGCGTATTTGAAATGAAAAGCTAATAAAAAGCATTTAAGGAGACCCACCCCTCCCTGTGAATGCCACAAAAGAGCCCCAGTTTCCAGGTGGGGCAGCAATGGGGGCATCTTGTCCCCTAGGGAGAACATGTGGCTGATCAGCCGGCTAGAGGGGGCTCTTCCTCCAGCTGTGCCACAGTTGACTTGGTCACCGAAAAGCCCGCTCATTCATGCTCAAGTTCAACAAGTGCAGCCTTTAATTTCCCCTGGAAATGTGTTTGCATTTCTCCCCCCTCCTCCTTCCTCTGCCACAACTTTTGTTTGGCCACGGCCAGACATACACCCAGCCTGGGGGTGTGTGTGTTCACTCTCTGGATGACTATATAAGTGGACAGACGCCAGGCAGGGGAGCTAAGCTAGGAGCTCCTTTTGTAGAAGCAGGAGGAGGCAGAGACAGGAGGCGAGACCGAGGAAGGGCACTGCGGGGCTCCTGTGACGGGCAGCATGGCAGAAGGTAAAAAGAGAAAAGGAAAAGGAAACCCAGAAAGGAATAGGGGGGACTCTTCTCTCTGGCTCAGGGCAGAGATCTTGTCTTCTTCCCACTGTCTTTCTGCAAATGCTTTTGCCTAATTGTAATACTGTACGATCATTGCAAAAGGATACGGACAATATTTGTGTGTGTGTGTGCATACTATCTCCAGAACGAGCATGTTCCAAGTCGACTCACCGACTCTATTAATGGCAACCTTGTCAAAACAAACTGCACTACTTTTACTCCTTGAACCTAAACTGTCCACTCAGTTGTTGAAAGATGTTCTGCTTGTTATTTTTTCTTTTAAAAAAAGAAGAAATTCTCAATTGGGAAAAGTTGGGATAAACAAGCTAAAGCAATTGTGTGTGGCGTATGTGAGTTTGGGGGCAGGCAGCAATTAATTTATCCGTATAATACTGGAATGATTTTTAATAATTTTTGCTTTTAAGTTAAGAAATAAATACCAAAAAAGGGAAACTTTGTAAGAAAAAGTTGGAATGTTTGAATAGGGTTTGCAGGCAGTTGCTAGAAAATGAAATATATATATATTTATTTCAGAGTGCTTCTTGCACATGCAGAATTTATAACAGTTACAGCCCAATGGAATATTTTTCTGCACAAACCCCACTGTAATTAAATTCCTGTCTTTAAGCTGAATATTTTCTGCAGCTATTCCCCGCATTGGCCAAGGAGACAAATCCGCTTTCTTGCTTTCTGTCCATGGTTTTCGCTTTTGGAAACTCATCTTCAGATTCAGAAGGGACGTCCTGCAGGTCTACGCAAATAATTGCTTTAGCGTGGAAAATTGTAGAGAAATCCTTCTGCAGGTCTTGGCTTCCTTTCATCTTCCTCATCACTCTTCTCTGAAGTTTAATTCTCGATTCCTCCATGTCCTTGTTATTAATAGGGGAAACCTTGCTGGGTCTCTCAGGAGAGAATGGGTGCATGAGATCCACAGCGTAAGAACAGGGGCTCTTGGCTTTGTTTTTTTGCACAGACCACTTTCATCTTCATCCAAGGTCTCCTAAGCAATGCTCATTCCGGATCAGCTTTGCAAAAGTACCACTTTCCTAGCGCTTAGCTCGGCTCTTCTTCAGGCAAATGAAAACGGCCCTTGCAAAACCTGAGCTGCCAGCTTATATGACGCAGCCTCTTGCAAGACCCCAGCTGCTTTGCAAACTTACTAAGCTGGTCTAAACCCTTGTGGGGAAGATTAGCAAGGCCACCTCTCCTCTCCCACTGGAAGGGGCACGAAGGCTATTTATGAAGCCCTGGGTTCAAATCTCAGCTCAGCTGTGAAATTCACTGGTGTGGTCAGACACCAGCACCATCCCTTGGCTTCACATAACTCACAGGGTTAAGTCCTCGTGAAAAGTGACAATTCTTGAGCTGGACTGTTCTGTTTTCTCCCTTGGGAGGCTTCCTCCCATCCTTCCACTTTATTACAAGGACAAAGAAGAAGCCATCGACCTGGGAAGGGGTGCAAACTCTCTTTCACCAGAGGTTTATAAGCAGAGGTTGGAGGGACACCCGTCAGGGATTCTTCTGCTGAAATTCCAGAATTCCAGCATTGCAGGGGGGTTGGACTAGATGACCTCTGGGGTACCTTCCAGCGATTCTATGGGGTGATTGTCTGTATGCTTTTAGACCTCTTCTTTTCCAGTGACGCTTAACCAAGGAGTCCATTGGCCCTTGCAAGCTGGTGCAACCTCTTTCCTCAGGAATATTGATGTGGGTGTTGTGCATGTGGCACAACACTGTTTGCTTTCTTGCTGTGTGCCCTCAGTGTGCCTGGAGGGGCAGGGAGAGAGAAATGGAAAGAGAGCCCTAGGGTTAAGGCACATGTGCAATTTGTGTCCTATACAAATTCAGAAGTTGGGCAAAGACCTAAAATGGCTTAGGTCAGGCTATCTGAAAGACCATATTCCCTCCTATGAACCTGCCCAGACAGGTAGATAGATAAATTATTTTAATTCTATTAGGGTTTAATTTCTTTCTAATGACTATCTTTGGTATGTTTTTAGCTTTTTTAAATTGGCATGTGTCATTTTAATTTATGTAAGCTGCCAGTTTGGGAAAGGGATGGGATAATAATAATAATAATAATAATAATAATAATAATAATAATAGCAATAGCAGATCATTAAGGCATTTTGTTCCACTTTGGAAAGAGCTCCAAAATCTGGGCATGGGGGGATTCAGATAGAAACCTAGAGACCACAGGAAGATTCCTTATTCTGAATCAGACCTCTGGTCCATCTGGCTACTGTACAGCACACTCTGGTGACTTCAGAGCTAGATTATTGCAATTCACTCCACGTTGGTCCAAAATGCAGTTGGTCCAAATTGCAGCACTCCGACTTCCAGCCAAGGTTCCATTTAGATCTCACACAACCCCGGTTTTAAAAGAGCTGCGCCGGTTGCCCTTTCGTTTCCAGGCGCAATTCAAGGTGCTCATGTTGGTGCTTAAAGCCCTGAATTACTCAGGCCCCAAATACCCAAAGGACCTTCCCCACAGACCCTCCTGAATGCTGCGATGGGCAGAGAGGGGCCCTCTTGGTAGTCCCTCCACTTTCAGAGGCCCAGGAGGAGAGGGTCTTCTCTTTGGTGGCCCCCAAGCTGCAGAGCTCCCTCTCCATGGAGGTGTCCCTGGCACCTTCACTGTGCATCCTGAAGGTTGCTGATGACGCGTCTTCTTCCTTTTTACTTTTTACACCTGAGGTGTGTGGTTTTAGGACCTACCTCATTATTTATTTATTTATTTATTTATTTATTATACCTCGCCCATCTAGCCAGGTCTCCCCAGCCACCCTGGGTGGCTTCCAACAAAATATTAAAATACAGTAATGCATCAAACATTAAAAGCTTCCCTAAACAGGGCTGCCTTCAGATGTCTTTTAAAGATAAGATAGCTGCTTATTTCCTTCACATCTGGTGGGAGGGCGTTCCACAGGGCGGGTGCCACCACTGAGAAGGCCCTCTGCCTGGTTCCCTGTAACTTGGCTTCTCGCAGGGAGGGAACCGCCAGAAGGCCCTTGGAGCTGGACCTCAGTGTCCGGGCTGGACGATGGGGGTGGAGATGCTCCTTCAGGTCTACTGGGTCGAGGCCGTTTTATAGCTGCAAGTTGTTTTAAATTGTTTTTAATGCAGTAGTCCACTCTGGGACTTTGGGGTGAAGGGTGGGAAATGAAAAAATTAAAGCTCAGTATTATCTACCCCGACTGGTAAGGGGATTCCGGCAGGAGTTACTCGCAGCCCTATTTGGAGACGCTGTCCCTGACCCAGGGACCTTTTGCATGCAAAGCCCGTGAGCTGAGCCCTTCCCTAAATGAGGATTGTTTCAGAAGCATCCGTGCTCTCAGAAGGGCTGCTTCCACGACCCCTTCCTTTCCTCTTTCCCTGCGTGTAATAGCTGTGTGTAGATTTACAACTGCCAGCCGCTGCACATTCACTAGACCCCAAAGAGCGCTGACTGAGCGTGGGCTGCCCAATTGCACAAGGACAACGGCCGATGTCAACTTCTCTGCTGCTGGCGGATCCAGGTTGGCGCCTTTCCGAGCTGTCAGCACAGAGGAAATAGTGAAAAACATAACACCGGTTGCCTCATTTTGCTGGATGCTCACGTGAGAGTCTGTGTTAGAAGTTCAAGAGAGTGTGGCTGACTCGCAAGGCAGGAACTAGGCACTAAAGAGGCCCACAACCAGGAGGACAATTCTCAACAGCAGCTTTAATAATAATAAACATAATAATAATCAAAATAAACATAACATGAGCCCTGCTGGATGAAGCCAATGGCCCGTCTAGTCCAGCATCCTATTCTCCAAGTGGCCAACCAGCTTCCGTCAATGTGCTGCCCTGTACTTCCATAGCTAATCTTTGGAACCTCCTTTCTGCATAAGGCAGCTATGGCCACCAACTGGGGTAGCTTAAAAAGAGGGTGAGACAAATTCATGGAGGAGGAGAGAGCTATCGAATCTATAACCCACAATGGCTGTGATCTGCCTTCACGGCTGGAGGCTGTGATGTTACTGAGTATCAGTTTCTGGAAGCCACAAAGGGTAGGAAGGTAATAATTTATTATTTATGCCCCGCCCATCTGGCTGGGCCTCCCCAGCCACTCTGGGCGGCTTCCAACAGAACACTAAAATACAATAACCTATTAAACATTAAAAGCTTCCCTAAACAGGGCTGCCTTCAGATGTCTTCTAAAAGTCTGGTAGTTGTTGTTCTCGTTGACATCTGAAGGGAGGGTGTTCCACAGGGCGGGTGCCACCACTGAGAAGGCCCTCTGTCTGGTTCCCTGTAACCGCACTTCTCGCAGGGAGGGAACTGCCAGAAGGCCCTCGGCGCTGGATCTCAGTGTCCAGGCACAACAATGGGGGTGGAGACGCTCCGAGGCCGTTTAGGGCTTTCAAGGTCAGCACCAACACTTTGAATTGTGCTCGGAAACGTCCTGGGAGCCAATGTAGGTCTTTCAGGACCGGTCATAGAGCCATAGAGATGGATGGTACCCCAAGGTCATTCATGTCCAACCCTGGGCAACACCGGAATCACAGCTAAAGAATCGCTCTGTTCGAAAACCTCTACCCCCTTCCAAGCTAAGTCTGTCCTCCTGCTAAATGGCTCTTACAATCAGAAGGTTCTTTCCAATGTTTAGTTTGAATCTCCTTTCTTGTCATTTGAATCCTATGGTTCAGATTCTCCCTTGTAGAGACAGTGGCATAGCACATACACACACATACCGGTGCCCGGGGCAGAGCCTTTTTTAGGACTCCAGCCGAAGTTCTTGGACTTTTTTGAGGGGCGAACAGTGGCTCCACCACCCTGCAGCTGACCTCCAGCCCCCCATGATGCCCAACAGCCCTCCGGTGTACTCAGTGTGCACCACCACCCCTCCCTTCCTCCACTACTGTGTAGAGCAGCAAGCTTGCTCCATTTTTTCATATAAGAGACCTTGACGTACTTCAAGATTTTTTTTAGAT